AAAAAAAAAAAAAAAAACTAATGACGTTGTCTTGGTTTGACTTTGTAAAAGGCTGCAGCCACAAGGTGAACACACCGGGATGCTTAAAAGACGAGGGACACACGCACACAACCCCACATTCTCTCTAAAACCACAACCATACGTAATTCTAATGAACTGATCCAGAGTATGTCAGTGTAATTTCTCTTTTACAGCGAGAATAGAAACCGACATAAAACCACCAGCTACAAACAGGCTTCACTGTTAACCACGTTCATAGCTTTCATTCAGACTGAAGACTGTCTGTATTAAATATCTATTGTACAGTACTGCAGTGTTTCCCTTATACTTGTACTATATCTGTGTGTTACTCTGAGCTGTCAGTATCTTTATCCAAAAATATTTTAAAATGGAACTGCTTTGGGACATTAATATTTTTAATTCCACCATTTGAGGAAGACTTTTATTTTAAGCACATGTATGAGAACATACTTAAATCTCATTTATAAAGAAATTACTAATAAGGAGAGCTTTTTGATCTTCATGGACTGCAACATCAATTCACATCCTGAATCAAAATGGGAACTGAAAATGAATCAATCTCAAAGCTTGTCTTGGTACAAGGTGTGAGTGTGGATTTGGTGCAATGGTTACTCTTTATCTTTAACCACATCTTTACACTGACTTTTAACTGAGCAAAAATAAGATTTAGCTTGCAGCCTCCTGTTGTTTTTCTCACCTGAAAGTGGGAAGGACTCATCTCGTTTTAATGTTCTCAGAGGGCAGGGTTTCGTTTTGACTGGCTGCCTGCCTCTGATGCAAGTTTACTTTTCTCGTTTACAGTCATCTAGAAAAAAGTGTGTGTGCAGGTGTGTGTGTGTGTGTGTACGTGTGTTTGTGTGCAAGTTAAATGAAAGTAGTTGGGTGTACCTTTGTATAAACTGTATTTAAGTTCGTACTTGTTTTCCTTTCTTGCACTTCTGTGTGAGTTGGTGTGTGTGTGTTTGTACCGCAGTAAGAAACAGTAATTAAGTAACAGCGCTGTCTACTGTAAACTGCCCATTAAGGTAGAAAGTATTCATTAAACCCAAAATACATCTGCTTCTGTACATTTGTAGGGCTATAAATACATAAAATGTGTATGTTTGCTTTGCTTGTGCAGTGAAACTCAAAGTGTGAAACTAATGTGCTGACAGTTTCTGCACATTTATGCCTTTGTGTGAATGTGTGTATTGTACCTTGGTGAGGTAGTCATGTATATTAAGCGTGGCCAGCTTAGTGAGGTGTCCATTGAGGCCCAGGGCCATGAGGAAGCCTGCATACTCATTAGCCAGCTCAGGGCTCTTTGGCTTGTTGTAGGCTATCCAGGCTGAGTCCACCTTAAAAACCAACAAAAAGAAATTCACATTTATTTGTAGGGTTCTTTACTGAAAAAGGGTGAGTTTACAATGCAAAGATGAACAAAGGGGACAGAGTTTCTATGAGTTTGTCTAGACTCATCAAAAATATTAACATATGGGTTTATTATGAGGACAGGGCTGACTGTAGAAACAAGTGAGTAATCAGCTGCACTAACATGTATGTAAAACTGTACACAAAGCCTGATGGAGGAGGTAGCGAAGCTGTGGTTTCAGACTGACCTGTGAAGCTGGGGCTATTTTGAGTCCAGCAGCTACTCCGTTATGGAAGCTGGGCCAGCTGGTCATATTGGGAGGAACATCAATGTTCCCGCTGTTCAGATCAACCATAGTGTTCCTGGGAGGAGCACGGCCTGGGGTAGAAAAATACAAATGCAAAGTAAAATCTGGAACTTAATACTGGACTACAAAAATCCTAAGTTAAGTACACACAATATACACATAAAGAACACATGTTAATGTACAGTTTAATTTCCTCTGGAGCACAGGCTAAAAATCTCAATGTGGACACTCTGCTATATTCCTATTAAGTTATAAATTCCGTAATATAACTTGGAGGAAAAATTGATAAATCCTCTATCCTCAGTGTTTCTGTCTGAAACACTTCATATTTCACCATATGCCATGCAATGCATAAACGGGTATGAATGTGCATCATGTTACCTGTCAGGTTGAGTTTTGGGACAGGTAAAGGTTCCGTCGGTACAGGGTGATAGGAGAAGAGAGTGAAAAGCCCTCTGCCAACCGGAAGAGCCATGGTCCTCTGACACAACTGCAGGAGTCTAGGGAAGAGACACACATGTGGACAAAAAGAAAGCAGGGAATTAAAACTAAGGAAACATTACAGGCTCACAGTCAGAAAAATCTATATAACTGACAGGAGGTGCACGCCACCCTTGATTACTGCAGACATCCTACTGATTGTGTACAATTGTAAGACAAAGACAAGGAGAGAACAGTGACAAACAAAAGACATACACAGTGAAAAAAGAAAAGTTAGCGAAAGAAAATTTTTGTGATCTGAAATAAAGGAATTCAAAGGAATGAGGAGAAAGGCACCAGAGGATATTGTATATGTCCTTTGAAATTGCTCTGTTGCTGTCTGTGAGCATCTATGTTGGCAGTCAGGACACACACATACATTATACTCACTTGTTCTCTTTCTCCTCAATGTACTCATGGTCAGAGACTTCTGGTAACTGGACAACACTGACCCGGACTGGCCTGGAGCTCTGCAGGAGCCTCCTGACCTCCTGGACCCTCAGATCCTGACTCCAGATCAGTCCTGTGACCTGAAGAGGAGAACATGACACATTCTTAAACTGACAATACCTAAGGTATCAACAACACGCCTTCTTTAGATACCTAACAATGTTTACTGCGCCTGTTACCTCTTGAATAATGTCCGACATCCCATCTTCCTCCTCATCTGCCTCTGTGGTCGCAGGAGGCTCCAAGGACAGACCTGAACCTACAGACTGGAGAGACACAAACACACAAATGATTCACAGACAACCATGATGACAGTTCGGGGAGTCTTATGTGGCTGAAGTTTCATCTCAACAACCTTACTGGTTTTAAGATTCATTCCAAAGATGATTTGATTTTCCACCTGCTCCAAGGTTCTGATGAGTGTTTGTGTGAGCAAGAGATACTGAGGGTAAAGAGTTCAGCTTTGATTGAAACACAGTCAGATAATCTATTTGCGTAGCATGTCTTTTTCGGAACGTGGAGAGCAATTACACCCTGTTATGGCTGGAGACGTGTACATGTTTGTGTAATGCTGATGGATTCAACCTCACCTCCCCTGTATGGGCTAAAGTAGTTAAATGTTTCCATTTGTGCGAGGATTCCTGCTCATTCTGAGTAGGTTGCATGTAACGTTGTTCTCGAATTTTTTACGCAGTTTTTGAAGTGAGTGAATATGAATGTTGAGAAAGTCTTGGTCGAAGGCCTTTGTCACAGTTCCTGACCGTGGTTCGATACGTGTTGTCATATGTCTGATCTCATCATGTCTGGGTGCTCTAAAATGGTCGTCGATGTGCGTGTCTCACGTGGTCATCACCTCGTCGCATCCCTCGCAGAGGAACACAGACTGGTTGGGCCTCCCTTCCTTCCTTCTATAGAGCTGAAGCGGTTTGAAGTCCATGCGAGCCACAACAGCTCACCACGTACCTGTACACAGTCTCCAGCCGGATAACCATGGCAAAAGTTCCCAGAATCCACGATGCCTACGCGCAAGATAGATTATCTTGACGTCGCTGTGCGTCAATGCCAAAGCTGAACTGCTTTACCGTGCCACCGATGTCGTAGGCTCAACCCCACCAGGCAAGAATTGTCACTTGGGCGGAACATGTGGAAAATGCAGGAAAATTTAAACGACTGAAACAAGATACTCCGTCTGTTAGAAGAGGGACAGATAGGACAGTCACAAGACCCTCTAAAAGAACTGTGGGATAACCTTTGAGCAAGATCAAAATCTGCTCCTGGTGGTTTGGTCTGGCGGTCGGGGGGGGACGAACGCGATGCCTGCTTAAGAAAGGCTTAAGAAGCTTTCAGCTGCAGTCATGCAATCCGGCTTGTGATGGTTTGAGGAAAAGTGATGGAAAGAGATAGTAGCTGATTGTGTGGAGGTCCCAGCCTGGGGAAATCTGTCGCGCATTTTGT